TTACATACCTAAGTTAAGATATTGTTTGCAACTTCTAGCTATGTTTGAGAACAACTTTCTGCCCAATGTTCACTATTGAGAATGAAATGATGTCTGATGTATGCACTGACAAATTTGATCCCAGGGGCTGTCAATTCGAATCGGGCAGTGGTTGCAATGAAATGTCAAAATAACTAACAACATTGTCACTACTAAACTGGATTTAAACTTACATTGACATTACGACAACAGACAAAATGTGAATGTGAATGCATGGATGGCGTTCAGAGCTGCAAACATGCCAGACTTCACCTTCCACTAGATGACAATGACTTCGCAACCATCGCCTCCATCACCTGAGCCGAGGAAAGGGAACTGGAGAGACATCAGACCAAACAAAAACTACAATTCCGAACAACAACAATCAAACACAAACTTCAAAATCTAAATACAGCAGTACAGCAAATCCAATATATGACACAAGGGTGAAAGCTTCTGATCTGAGGAGCAGACTAATGCAACATAGACCACGCCGATGAACAGGAAGTCAACATCACAGGTATTACAGCAGACTACAAAAGACCACAGCAGACAACAATTTTTCTACAGCAGACAACAGAAACTTAAGGAATAATCTAAATGACTACGAAATGACAATTACAATGGTCTGAATTTAGTGGTACGCCCTGCCCCCCCTCAAGTCAATGAACCTGCAATCTATCTATGGGTCACTGAACAATCAAAAATGAATAATAAACACATACTACATCAGACAAACAGTTGTTAGTTGCTATGATAAATTTGAACGGTTGAAACATTTTTTGTTCAGTCGATTTCAATCGTCAATAACATGTTTTAACTAAGCGGTTTTTAGTAAACAATAACATGTTTTTCTGTTAACATATATGTATTTTACATGTCGATTAATCATGCCAAGTGCAACCAAACCCGTTTGTGCATGTATCAATGCAAGTTGTGTAAAGGGTTGTCAGGCAATGTTTTTATTTTTTGAAGGGTTGTAATCATCCTGTATATTCTTCATGTTTTGCTTTTATTACATATATATTGTTTAAAATCATATCTTATCATGTTTTATTATTTTTATTCATTTTTATCATTTTTGGACATGTTTTATCATTTTTATTCATTTTTATCATTTTTGGACATATTTAAGCATTTAAAACATTTTTAAATCTCAAACATATAACATGGAAACCCTACCGATCCAAACCCTCACCGATCCTTGGTATGGAATTTTCTTGGTGAATTAGCATTGCTGTTTTTGGGGCTGATCAAGGGAAATCCCCGAACATAACATCTCTGGGGAAGAACCTGGGTGAGGGTGACCGGCATGCCAGAATCGAGGGTCATGAAGACCAGCCATCTGTGGATATAATGATGCCGGATGCATCAGCAGGAGAGGCAGTCGAACCGACATCACCTGATGTTGAACCAGAGAAAATCATCAGCTCTCAGAAGTTGACAAGGATCTCGATGTGGGAATTGTGGGATATCCCCCCAGAAATGTACCACGACATGGGCCCCAGTTTTTGTCTGTGTGTAAGGAGGATAGGGATTGGGTCAAAAAGGTCCATCACAGAATGGGACATCCAGATCCGAGTCGATTTGCTCAGCTTCTGAAGAGCACACATGCGGCTGAACATATCGTGGCTGGAGCGCTGGACTTTCAATGTGATGCGTGTCTAGAGACCCAAAAGGGTTTCCTTCCGTCCCGACAAGCAGCCATCCATGCAAATCTAGGTTTCAAATAGGTTATTGGCATGGATGTAGTGAGCTGGAAAAATGGTCGTGGTCAAGAATTCCAATTTGTTCATTTCTTGGATGAGGGAACTTTGTTTCATCAGGGTCAACCATGTCAAAGGGATACTGAAGACCAACTCCAAGCTCTTGAAAATTCCTGGATATCTTGGGCCGGACCCCCGCAACAATTAACACGGATCCAGCAAGGGAGTATTTTTGAAAAGTTTTTGGGAAAACTCCAGGAATATGGCATCCAGGTGAAAACCACCTCGAGGGACAGTCACTGGCAACTTGGCCGAACCGAAGTGCATGGATCCATCGTCAAGCGAATGCTGGAAAGGATGGATGCGGAAGCTCCCATCAGCACCAATGAGGAGTTTCGTGACGGGTTGGTTCAAGCATTTTGTGATAAGAATGCTTTGTCAAGGGCATATACCCCTGGACAGGCTGCTTTGGGAATTTCAAGAAAACTGCCAGCATCCATCACCTCTGACTCTCAGCAAGCGAGCTATCTGCTGGCTGCTGGAGAGACTTCTGAGAGCGATCAGTTCCGGCTAAGCTTGGAACGGTGGAGCAGAGCCCGGCGTGCCTTCATTGAGGCTGACAACTGTAATAGTCTTCGAAGAGCAATGTTACGTAGGAGTCATCCACTTAGAGAACCCTATGAGGAAGGTGATTGGGTCTTGTACCGGAGGCGCGAAGGTGGAAATCTTCGAAGGATTCGTGGTCAATGGCATGAGAGTGGCGAGCTGTGAGAGATCGGAAGATCAAATGCAGCCAGTCCAAGACTGGGTCAAAAGGGTCGCATCAGCTGATTTCTTCGACTTGGATTCCGATGATACCCCTCAATCAGAAGAAACTGGGGAAATAGATGGAGTAAGTTCGGGATATTACCCCCTCAATTATGGAACCCAAAAGGGGAACCACCAGGGGAAGGGGAACCCCAAGAAGAATCAGTTGAGGTGAATGGAGTGAAAGTTCCCATACCGGATGATGATGATGATGATGATGACGATGATGATGATGATGATGATGACGATGACGATGACGATGACGATGATGATGATGATGATGATGATGACGATGATGATGATGATGATGATGATGACGATGACTTGTTGTTTGGGGATGATTTTGTTTTTGGTCAAGTTTTGGGAAACAAATACTAGGAAATAGATGTCGCTCCTCCTAGCATGCCCTTGGAAACGGATACAGATCCTCATGAAATGGTCATGGCTGCCACTGAACTTCGTAAGAAAAGGGTTGAGGTGAAATTCAAAGATCTTGGGGAAGAGGATCAACTCCGTTTTGCAGCGGCAGAAGACAAAGAGGTTCGAGCTTGGCTGAGTCATAAGACTGTTCAAAAGGTGGCTCATGGGAAAATCCCAGATGAACCAGCGCTGGTAGTAATTGGGTATGAGGACCCGGACATTGATTCGGTTAAGAAGGATGCACCCACTCTTACAAAGGATGGACGTCAGTTGGTACTTCAGCAAGTGAGTAGTTTCCACTGGCCACTTATCAGTTTTGACATATCAATTATCAACAGCATTTTTGCACGGACGGGGAGACGGCCGAAATCTTGGTCTGCATCCGACACCTGAAATTCAAGAAGCTCTCGAAATGGGCCCCAGTGATCAATGTGCCCTAAATGGGGGAGCCTACGGGCGGGTAGATGCACCATTTTTGTGGTTTTGTGGAATTCGAGATGAGCTTCTGCAGCAAGGATGCAAGCAGCACCACTCGATCCCTGCGTTTTCACCTATGGTGAGACTGATCAGAATGGAAAGTATTGTCCACGTGGTAGGTAGTCTTGGACTTCATGTCGACGATGGGATCGGGGGAGGAAACGAAGCTTTCATGAATATGCTTTTTCACGAGTTGAAAAGCGTTTCAAGTTTGGGTCGTTTGAAACTGGGGAATTTAAGTACACTGGGATACACTTCAAACAATGGGATGATGGGAGCATAGAGTTCGATCAGATTTCCTATATTGAGAAAATCGGCCCAATCAACATTGGGAAGTCCCGTAGGAGTGAACCCTCAAGTCATGTCACCCCAGAAGAACGATGTATGCTTCGGAGCTTACTTGGAGCTCTACAACATGCTGCTGTCCATAGCCGTCCGGATCTGAGTGCCAAGGTGGGAGAATTGCAAAAACGTGACGAAAGCAAAGGTGGAAGATTTGGTTACTGCAAATATGGTACTTCATGAGGCAAAGGTGCATGAGGTGTCATGGATGGTACTTCCAATTCAACCACGTAGAGTCACGTTTTGTGCGTTTTCCGATGCTAGCTTCATGTCAAACCAAAACCAGCGTGGCTCATCAGGGAACCATAGTGTTTGCCACAACACCAGAGCTTTTGGGAAATCAGAAAGCTGTTGTTGCTCCAACTGCTTGGACCAGTAAAAAGGTGCCACGAGTGGTGAGAAGCACTCTGAGTGCTGGGCAACCGCCTTAAGCAATTCAGTTGACAAGTTACTCTGGCTTCGCATGATTTGGGCCTGGCTGTTGAATCCAGACTGTGAATGGAGTAAGCCTGAAACAGCTTTGGAAGAACAAACCAGAGCTGCAGTAGTCACAGATTGTCGGTCGATGTACGACATCTTGACTCGTACAGCCATTCCAAGCTGCAGCCAGCACCGCACGACAATCGAGTGCCTTTTAATCCGAGAAAGGCTCAAATCCAACTGTGACATTCGCTGGGTGACAAGTCAAGCGATGTTGGCAGACTGCTTGACCAAGGTCATGGAGGCCACTGCACTCAGGCAACGTTTAGCTTCGGGAAGGTACTCACTGTTTGATGAAAAAGAAATTCTCAAAAGTAGAGCTGACAGTCGGCAGCGGTTGCAGTAGATTAAGGATCAGAACCAAGCTGATCCAAATGTTTCAACATCAGAGAGCGTCGCAGTCACAGCCGAAACCGGTTTCAAAGTAGATGTACAGTTTCCGGGAAAACCTCGAGACTTTGGCAAGCTGGACCTGGTGAACAGATCCGTCGGATCCATGTCATTCCTAGGAGAAAGCGCTTTGTTCCCATAGGGGTCACTGAGTGTCCTGTTGATATCCGTGAGCTTAGGGCTGCCAGGGAGACTTGAGTGAAGAATGGGTCTGTTGAGCGTGATTTTTGGACAGGATCCAGAGAAGCTGCACCAATGTCAATTTTACGGACTGGAGAAACAATTTTTCACAGGAACCATATGGGAATCCAGGAAATAAAGAAGGTGACGCCAATCAAGAAGGTGCATGAAACTCTCTAGTTACTTGTAACTCCAGTCCTGCAGGGTTTCTTTCATCTGGCCAATGCGCGGCCGCATCTTCGCTCTGCGCTCTCAAGGGAGGGCGGGCGGAGGAGCCATCATGGTGCCACGGAGGTAAGAAAAAGAGGTGTCAAAGGGCTTGACATTCGCTATATTTATATATACATACATATTTACATGAATACATAAATACACATACATATTATACATATATACATCTATACATATATACATAAATACATACTTACATATTTACATATATACATATTTACGTATTTACATATATACATATATACATGTATACACATATATACAAATATATATATATACATGTGTAAATTTGTACATATATGCATCAATACATTTACACATGTACACATAAGTACATATACACATATACATATAAAAATATATACATACAGATATGTTTATATATAAATACTTCATATATATATATATATATATAGAAATTTATTTATACATATATTTACACATATATAGATATACATATATTTAAGTTCAAATATTTTAAGTACATATATATATATATAGTTTCATTTACATATATTAATATACATATCAATATTTACATATATACATTTATATACATAAATACATATACACATATATATATATACATATATATATATACATATATACATTTACAAATTTATTTATATATACATACATATGTATATATATATATGTATTTACATATATTTACATATGTATATATATATACATAGGAATACTACAAATATATCTATCCATATGAATACATATTTCCATATATACATGTATACGTATTTACATGTATACACATGTATACAATTATACAAATATACATTTTTACATGTATACATGTATACATTTCTACATGTATACATTTATACATGTATACATTTATACATTTTTTATTTTTACATATAGATATTTGTATATGTGTAAACATATACATATGCATATAACAAAAATATGCATATATATATATACATATATATATATACATATATATACATATATATACATATATATATATACAAATACTACATATATATATATGCATATATATATATACAGACATTTAAATACGTATATACATATATACATGTATGCATGTATACATACATACATATATACATCTATACACATGTATAGATATATACATATATACATTTATACATTTATACTTTCATACCTTTTACAAAATATCGATATATATATATATATATGTGTGTATGTGTACATTTATGCATCATATATATATATATATATATGACGATCTGAAGTGCCGCTGCTTCTGTTTTCTCGGGCCATCATTCTGGCGGTATGCCATCCCAAATTCGATCACTCCTCCTCTGCTGAGATGTCTTTACAGCGAAGCAGCAGAGGTTAGGTAGTGGAGCCTGGCACCAAAACGCTTTTCTGTAAGCGTGAGGCACCCTGCAAAAGTAAAAGTCCCATGGCTTTGGTGTGCTTTTCAATCACCGCAGCCGTACTAGATTTCGTCAGGATGTCGGAAGGGTTGTTGGCAGTTCCAATCTTCTTGATCACCACTCGCTCACTCTGAACTGCTTGTTGAAGCCATAGAAAGCGGGTCTGAACATGACGCTGTTTGCCCAGCCCCACTCGCGATGCAAATGCTTTTGCCGAAGAGCTGTCACTCTCCACCACTAGGCCAACCACCAAACCAAGATCTTTGAGGAAAGCTTGAAGTCCTAGTCCATGACTTGCTCCATGAACCAATGCGTAATACTCAGACTCAGCAACGTTCAAGCCTATGACAGTCTGAAGATTGCTGGTGGCCTTGATCATGTGACCACCAAGGAACTGAACCATTCCCGTTGTGCTCTTCCGCCCAACTTTGCAACCCGCATAGTCTGAATCAACGCATATGCAAATGTGGTCGCGCATCTTCTGCTGATGGAACACCACCGCCCGACAAGTAGCGCGCCATTCTCTTCAGCATCTCCCAGTGAGCCAAACGAACCTTCGACATGCCTTGGGCCAACCTCTTCACTGTCTCACTCAAATCACTCCTTTCTTGGGACAAAAAGCTAGCCCTCATAACAGCTGATCGATACTGGGACGCTTGCGCCGCAGGCAACTCAGGAGAGAACTGCAGCTGGTGCGCCTGCTCATCTGTAGGCTTGATGGAAGGAGTCGTCACACCGTTGGACTTTGAGTTCATTCCAACGGCTCTCCAAATCAACTCCACATGGCGTTTGTCGGGCTCAATTCGAACCCATTTTCTTCCATCTGACTCACCAAGCTCAACGACACGGTTCAACACCGTTGCACTGCGAACACAACCTTCAGAAAAACCAAGTCGGTGAGCTTCTCGCATCTGATACTTGGACCCAAGCAACTCCTTCATGTCATCAATCGCAAACTTCGGGCCCAAAACGTAAAAATCATCACCATGAACTGCTCCACGTGAGAACTTGTCCTCATTGAAAAACAAAGCAGGATTGGCTTCACCAACTTGATAACCACCACTGGCCAAAAGCGCTTGCCAATCTTTCATCCAACCATGGCTAGCATCACGGCAACCATACATGTTGCGCTTCAGCCTACCAACCACATCACCATCGCCATCCAGCTTGTCTTCATCTGGTAACTCTATGTAGATCTCCCGCTCGACCGCAGGCATGAAGTGAGCCCTTGAAATGTCGTAGACACCCATCACCAAAGGTTCACCGCCAGTCATCGCCGCGGGAAGGTCCGTCACCAGAAGCGAGAACAGTCCCTTAACTGTTTCCCAGGGCGGTGTCGCACTAAAAAGCTCATGTGCCAATAGCGCTTCCCTGGTCTTTGACTTGAGCTCTTTGCCGACAATTCGGCTGCGCACTTTGTAGTGAGATCGGTCACCTTTGTTGACATCTACCCAACGGACTTGTAGAGGACGCACTCCACGTTGAAGTGCAACTGCACGAGGGACCTTGTCATAGAGGCCAATACTACGAACCCAATTGATCTCCTCCTGCCGTGCTTTGACAACCAGGTCATAGGGCAACTTCTCACCGCTGATGTCGTCGTAGTAGTCCATCACCTCGCCAGCCATCTCACTCATAGTTTTCTCATCAAACAGAGGCTCAGTCGGAACCGGCCCACTAGCATGTAGCTCAATTGAGCTAATGGCCCGGTCTGAAAGCATCTGCTTCTTGAGCCCCTCCAACACTGCATCCACCAACTCCAAAGGATATGCCTCGCACAATCTAGCAATGCCACCAACCAAAGGAACATGCCGATGGATAGGTCCACCTCGGCGGTTGGTGCAATACTTGTCCAAGACCTTTGCAATCTCCCTTGAGTTCGTGATCCAACGTGTCATCTTGTACACCTTGCCACGGCCTTTCTTTGAAGACCCAATCGCCATGTTCCAGCAACACATGGGACCGCTCACCGTGTAGACACCGTCAAGGTTCTGAAGTCCAACCACGCTGTCTCGGTCCCACGAATCTGCACCTGCTGGATGTTCATGCAAAAAGTATCGCCCATCATCCATCTGCTTCTTGTAGAGCTCAACGCTGTAGTCAAGGTGTTCTTCACCCTGACGCCGTCGTAGCTCATGGTCAGGCCCACGTTCTCGATGCTTGCTGATGTTCTGCAACACGCTAAAGGGGTCACATCTCGGGCTCCCAGTCAGCAAAAACGGCTGCTCCTTTTCAATGAGGTAGTTCAAATCCTTGCGGTCTTCTGCACGATTCAAATCCCAGTACTCGTTCTCCTTGCCCAGGATTGGTTTCTTCGTCGAGAGGTCCACAGAAAACCCCGGAGACAAGCCCAGGATCCCAGCTCGCGCAACAAACCTCGGTGGACTGAAGACCTCGGCCACGTCCACACTTCCAAGTTCCAACCTCCTCGACTCCAACCTCCTCGCAGCATAGTCCAATGAAGAGATCTCTCTCCACTTCACCGTGCTCGTGTCAACAGTCTCATAGGCACCCCAATCAATGCTAGAGACGTCACCTCCACCATCAGTAGCTCCCTTCTTTTCGGCCACCACCACATCCTCTACTGAAACAGCATTGGATGAAATCACCGGAGGAACATCCGGCACCGCAGCTGAAGCTTGAGCAGGAACCACTTCAGCCTCAGCACTTCCACTTGCAGCACGCTCATCCAACTCCTCCAAAGGAGTCTCAGCCACACGCTTGTACTTCATGTGGCCATCAGCCTTCCATCTTTTCGAAGGTGAGCCACTCGGAGAACCAACACTCGCACTTGGGCTCTCTGGTTCAACTCTTTTCTCACGCCCAGCTGGCACAACCTCATCCTTCTTATCTTCCAGTGGCAACATTTCAACTTTGGGTTTCTTCTTCTCCTGCTCCTCCTCAAACTCAATGCGACGCTCCAAACGTCCAGCCATTCTATCCTCAAAACGCGCCACTCGATGCTTCTCCGCAGCCTGCTTGCCAACCTCATCAAAGATTCTCTTTCTGCACTCTGAATTGTGAGCCACTGCCCTCTTAGCCCCTTTTCTCACGGCTTCGCAGCCACGACATCCAGGAATGTAGCCATGCTCTGTGATGTCCTTCTTCTGCACATAGAACCCACGAGCATCTGGAGTCTCTGGGACAGGAGGTGGAAGCCGTGGAGCTCGTTCACCCCCTTCACGAGGAACACCTGGTGTCTTCCTCTTCACATCCCAAGCTAGGAAGCCCAGCCAACTCTTCGATGCCCTCACTCTGCCATCGAAGACCTTCACCAACTCGTCGAACTGCAGCACCAAGTCGTAGGCCGTCTGAAGTGAGGCCCAAAATGGATCCAGAACGCGAATGATGCCCAATGTAGCGGACCTCAATCATCCGCTGTTCCCATTCCCGCTTGGGACGATTCTGCCGCTCAACAGCTTCCCTCATGTAGGTGAGCTCGCCAAACTCCAAAGCTGGTCTCATCCACTTCCGCCCAAACTCCTTCTCATAGGATGTCTTGCCACTAGCATCTCGCCTGTAGCAGTTGATCACCTGAGCCGCAAAAGAGGCCATCCAAGACAAAAGCACATTGTCATCGTTGAGCTTGCAACTCAACTCCCTCTCCAAAGACAATCTCAAAGAGCGCATCTGACGCTTGATCTCACGCACTGCAACCTCTATTGACCCATTGGCCGCATGGTCCCCAACTGGACACGTCTTATGAACCACCTCCACATTCTTCAAGTGCTCATCCACCATGGTCTTGAGCTTCACCAACGCTGGCTCGTTGTCACTCATGAAAACAACTCGCTTGTGCCCGGTCTCCTCCACAAAACGGGCGAAGGCCTTCAGCACATAGTCATCTGGAGATTTGCTCTGGAGTGCCACCGCATGAAGCCTTCCAGAAACGCCACTCTTGAGTGCGAGGAACGGCACCGAGTCCTCCTCAGTAGACATGTAAAAGAAATCTGCATGGATCGTAGGCCCACGCTCATCCTTTTCTTGTTGGGTTCGAGGACGATGACGGCTGCCTGTTGCCCTCGCTTCAACACAAACTGGACACCAATTCCTATACACTGCATGGTTCTCCAACTCGTGCTCTTCAATCTGTCGCTTGCTCGGCCGATCAGACCGATCAGCCCTCACCACACCCTGAGCTTCAGCCAAGGGAACATGCCAAAGCTCAGTGATCATCTTTCGCACCATAGGGTCAAAATGACCGTGGATGTTGAAGTCAGAGCCAAGCACCGAGGGTTCGTCAAAAATCTGGTTCGTCTCCTCGTTGATGCCCCTCCTCCAAACAACATCATGCCAATCGGGGCCATTCTCAGTCGTGCCCCGAAAAGTGAAACAATCATAGTCACGCCGTTGCCAGCAAACAACTCCATCAGGTAATCCAGGTGGTGGTCCAAAACTGCTAGGTTCATAGGCTTCCCATTTGGGACTGATCGGGTCAAGACCGACCCTCATCATCTGCCAACCCTTCCAACGCATCTGGTTGATAACATCACCACCACCATTGTCCACCTCTAAATCCTCAGCCTCATCCAACGGACTTACAGGTGACCCTGCCGGGAGTTTCCCGAAGACGAGGAAGAACTTGAATCAATGGCACACACCTCATCCATCTTGCCACGCTTCTGCACATAGAAGTTGTACAGGTTGCCTTCTTTGTAGAGGGGAATCACCTGATCATCACTGTATTGGTTGCACAGGGCCTTGTAGACATTGCGCATTCTCGTTGCCAAAGCCCCATGTCGAGGTAGTAGAACTCCACCATCTTTCCAAAGCCAAGCATCGTGATTTCGGCTGAATTCTCCAGCAGAACCAAGGGGTTTGTGAACGTGAGTGACCGTAGCTCTGATGCCCCGCTTGTTGCCGCGCTCATCCATCACCTTCATCCGAACGCGTCCATACCGCGGGATGCGGTCACCATTCGCCACCTTGAAGTCCCCCACTCTGTGCAACTCAAGGTCTTCCTCAGCCATCTCCACAGGAATCACGGTGCTCACAGCCCCAGAGTCATAGTTGAAACGAATCCACTCCTCGCCGTCATACTCCACCAAATAGTCTGGCTTCTCCTCTTCAACCTCAACACCCATGTTCTCCTCCTCGGATCGGCTACTCGACCCATAGTCCATTCCAACTCCACCATCCACAGCACAAAGATCAAGGTGAGCTAGGTCTTTGGGGTCTGGTTCACCTGCAGGCTGAGCATCATCAACTGAAGACGTAGCATTGCCACCATAGCCCTTGCCCTTGTTGTTCTTGCCGCCTTTGTTGTCCTTGCCCTTGTCCTTTCCACCACCTTTCGAGCGATGTCTGCAATCCTTCCCATAGTGTCCATAGCCATTGCAGACCCAACACTGCACATTGTCCATTCGCTTGTATTGGGCTCCTCGTCCGGCTTTACCACCTTTGCCTCCACTTCGGCAATCTGCTGCTCGATGACCAGGACGTCCACAGCGATAGCAAGTGACATCTTTGGACTTGCCCTTGCCTTTGCTCACCGCACCGATGTCCATGGCATTGGGATCCTTCTGAACCGGCTTCTTCTGGTTGAGCTCACGACGACTGATGTGCAAGCTGTGTTTTGTGCTTGCAAAGCTTGAGAGCCGGTCGAAGAGGTCCTCATAGGTCGGGTACTCGTCGGACTTGAACATGACCACCTCCTCGAGCGAGTCGTCACTGACTCGGCAAGGCCGACCGTCGTTGTCAGTGAACTCCTCATACTGTCTATTCTTGCCCAACCAGTCTTCCAATGCCGCGCCCAACTTGTCGACGCTCTCGCACT